TCTGCAACTTCTGTATCTAGCTGTTTTTACTGATAAAAAAACAAACATATGCATCTTACAAAATTACATGTTATGGTGACAGGATGGTGTCACAAGAATGGAAAGTTACTGCTTGTATATGAATACATGCCTAATGGCAGTCTAGATATGCACCTCTTTGCGGGCCCAGATAAAGAGTCGCTGAGCTGGCACGTCCGCTACAAGATTGTGCAAGGTGTTGCCTCAGCATTGCACTATCTGCACAATGAGTATGACCAGAGGGTGGTCCATCGCGACTTGAAGGCAAGTAACATCATGCTTGACTCAAAGTTCAATGCACGCCTTGGGGACTTTGGCCTTGCGCGGGCACTTGACAACGAAAGGACCTCTTATGCTGAGGCAGAAGGAGTGCTAGGCACAATGGGATACATTGCACCAGAGTGTTTCCACACAGGGAAAGCCACACAGCAATCTGATGTATACGCGTTTGGGGCAGTGTTGTTGGAAGTTGTATGTGGCCAGAGACCTGGAACCAAGATTAATGGCTTTCAATTCTTTGTTGATTGGGTTTGGTACTTGCACCGCGATGGCCGTATCTTGGAAGCTGTTGATCCAAGGCTTGGAGGTGACTATGTTGCTGATGAAGCAAAGAAACTTCTACTGCTTGGTTTGGCTTGTGCACATCCTATAGCTACTGACAGGCCTAAAACACAGGCAATAGTTCAGATTATATCAGGGTCAGCACCAGCACCAGAAGTTCCACCATTCAAGCCAGCATTTGTGTGGCCATCAATGATGCCAATTGACATAGACTCAAGTGTTATGGACACAACATCCATTACTACTTCTCAATTCAATTCAGGATGGAGTCTTGACTATCAAAGCAGGGAGACCCCAACATATGCAGACCACTCTTTGGTGTAGTTACTTTGATGGTAAACAACTATTACCAAAAGGAAAACTGATTTTTTTGGCCTTCTATTTTTTAAAAATATTTCCTGTAATTATGTTTTCTTGGGAGGAGGTTAAAAATTTCCTTCAGTTTTTTACTTTTTTGTTTGATGTTTTTTTTTCCTTTTCAATTTGTTATTGGGGCATGATGAAAAGATCAGGCAGCCTATGTACATTCATATAACTCAGTACTGTTACATTATGTCATATTTACTGTTTTCCTGTCTTTGCCAACCAAAATTATGTAAAAGAAACTCATGTTGAGCCAAATTGGAGGAGACAGAAAATGAATAGTGGCGAAGTATCTTTGTTGCCTCAATTGTACTACTACATACAACTTAAAGAATTCCAAGATCTCAAATTGTAATGAAAGATAAGACCTGATCAATTCTTATAAAAGCAATAGATAACAGAAGAACACAATACAAAGATGGATCATAGATGCTTTTGTTGATATGCATACATGCTCTGCCATTTTATAGGCTATTGTAGTATTAGATCATTGACAATATATAGTAGATGAAATCCCACTAAGATTCATCTACTTTCAAGATCATTTCTGTAAATCAATATAACGGAGGACCTGAGATGCTTGCCAAAGTTTTACAAGTTAGTGCGCATAAGATCAAGAGTTTCCCCCGCCTGTAACTTTGTTGATAAACGGTTCTCCCTATAATCAATGAAAGTGAAAGGAACATAGATACGGGGGTGTTCAGCACCTACCAGCTCAGGTGGTGGTTCCACTGCTGTGTCCCTTGGTCCCAAGATGAATGAAGCAATAGACACCCGGAGTTTTGCTTCCTTGCATATCACTCTATGCTTGACAGAGTATAATCTTCCATTGCTCCATACCTTCACACATAGCAAAAGGCAAGTATCATTGTCTAGTTCTTTTTTCTCAATCTTAGAAGGGGTAAGGGAGTAGGAATTATCTAACTTCCTGCTAAACAAACCCCGCCAGAGGCTAGCATAAGATTGTTGGAACACGTCAAATCTTGAAAATGAACTAGGTAGAGTAGCAGCATAGTTACCGTGCCTATGTCTCCAATATTCACAAGGAGGGTGTTTGGCCAAGGATCAACTGCTACAAATTCACCAGACTTCTTCATGACCTCAAGACCACCAACGCTTTCATCATCCTGTAGAATAGTAAGGAATGCCGAGTCTGTGTGTATCTGAACCCCAGAGGAACCTACAACTTCTGGGGTGAAGTTGTACTTGTTAATCCTAAACTGACAAGGCCAATCCTCAAAGGAAACATTTGGCAGTCCCAACCCTTCACCCATCTTATGCAGAACGTCCATCATTAGTCCATTAATTGCTGCAGCATACTTCTTGATTGTCTCTCTGTTCACAGTAGGAATCAAACTGCTTTTAAGCATTCTTGGAGAGCAGTCTTTTGAGATTTCTTCAATATAAGTATAATTTACCCAAACATGCCCACAATTCTTAAAATATATTCAGATATCAATTCCTTTTTCTTGTTAATTTCTTTATGATGCCACTCCAGCATGTAAGAAGCACTTCTTTTAGGATAGTCGTAGTATTATTCTTGTAGTTTTTATTTCTTCGATTTCTGTCACTATTTATTATTCCTTGTACTTCGATTATCTTATTATTTTGTTGTAGTTACAGATTGCTTTGTCATGCCTTGTTTCTTTACTGCTGTTATTTTCTTGAGCCGAGGGTCTACCGGAATCAACCTCCCAAAGTAGGGTAATGTTTGTGTACGCACTACCTTCCCCAGACCCCACTTGTCGGATTAGACTGAGTATGTTGTTGTTTAACTCATATTACAATTATGAAAAAGACTAAGAGTAAAAAGCAAGAGAAAACAAAAGCTCTTAATTAAGTGTTTATTAGCTTCACTGATCATTTAAGTTCCTTCAACTACTGTGCTAAACTTAAGTACTAAACTTGCTAGCAATACGAACAAATCACTTCCAGATCCCACCAGCAAGTCACTGACATAGCTAATTTATCAAGGATATCGGTAATAAATGAATCCTACTTTTCATTTTCAAAACTGCAATAACAACTATTAATGCACAAAGAACTCAGTTTTTAATCATCAAGAAACTAAATAAGTACTCCCTCTGTCCCAATTCAAGTGTGTTACTTTCCATTTTCTGTCTGTCCCAAAAAAGAGCTTCTTTTTCTATATTTTAGTAAATTTTCCAATTCCAACATTCTACATGGCAAGTCGCTGACATAGCTAATTGATCAAGGGTAACAACAATGAATGAACAAATGAATTCTATTACTATTCATTTTCAAAACTTCATCATCAACTATCAATGCACAAAGAACTCAACTTTTCATTATCAAGAAACTAAAAAAGTACTCTCTCCATCACAATTCAAGTTTCTTACTATCCTTTTCCGATCTGTCCCAAAAAGTGTGTCTTTTTCTACATTTAGTAAATTTCCAATTCGACATTCTACATGACAAGTCACAAGCTAATTGATCAAGGGTAACAACAATGAAATGAACCAATGAATCCTACTATTCATTTCAAAACTTCATCAAACAACTTCTAATGCACAAAGAACTCAACTTTCCATCATCAAGAAACTAAAAAAGTACTCCCTCCGTCCCAATTCAAGTGTCTTACTTTCCTTTTTCAGTTTGCCCCCAAAAAGATTGTCTTTTTCTATATTTACTAAATTTTCCAATTCCAACATTCTACACAGACATAGCAAATTGATCAAAGGTAACAGCAATGAACTCATCAAAGAACTCAACTTTTCATTTTCAAGAAACTGAAAAAGTAAAAATCAAACCTTTGATGTGGAGAAGCATCCAACTGAGTACAAAACTCATCTAAATCTTCAGCACAAGACATATCATAGAGACCAAACGCTTCATAAAGAGGGTTTTTTTCACTAGGAGCCATGTATCCAGATCCTGCAAGTACATCCTTGTTGCGTTTCTTGATTTCAATTGGAAGATCAAACAATGTCCTCACCACTTCCTTCATCTCTGCCATGAGTGAAACTGGAAGGATTTTATCATGGTTCAAAATTCTGAAACAACCCCATTCTTCACACGCCCAAATCAACTTGGATGATTGCCTTGGAAAATCCTGTAAATCAATTACTGGCACTAAATTTTCAGTCTCCATTTTGTTTTTTTTTTGCTCTTACCTTAGTTTTTTTCTTTTTTTGGAACTTGGGTTTATTCTTATAATGAAATGAAAAACTCCCTCATGGAAAATTCTAATTGTGTCACGTGAATTGAGATAGATGTCGATCAAAGACGTGAAGAATTTGGATGCGTTGAATTAGAGAGGGAACACAACATGAGTCTCTCCGCACGATTGTCTCAATTTTTTTGGACACACATTTGAAAGTTGAAACATACATCACTCTCCCGGGAGAAAACAAAAATCAAACAGTAGTGTAATTCCTAATTATGTGGAGTAATAATTATCAACAATAATTAGGATTTCCATATCCAAAACAAAGAACAAAAAATTTGGGGAGAAAGAATGAAGTAACCATTGATTGATTGTTTTAAGTATAATATACACATATAACTCTATACAACATGAGGATTGAGGACTCTCTAAGCTAAATTCTTTAAGACTCCCAATCAGACAACAAAATTCTGGGAAGGAAAATCTCAACCACTTCAGTACCAGTTTGAACAAGCTGTTCAATTGTTCACTATTTCCTTCATCACACTTTTGAGGCAGCTAAACAAGTTACTTTGATGGTAAACAACTATTACCAAAAGGAAAATTGATTTTTTTGGCCTTCTATTTTTTAAAAATATTTCCTGTAATTATGTTTTCTTGGGAGGAGGTTAAAAATTTCCTTCAGTTTTTTACTTTTTTGTTTGATGTTTTTTTTTCCTTTTCAATTTGTTATTGGGGCATGTTGCATGATGAAAAGATCAGGCAGCCTATGTACATTCATATAACTCAGTACTGTTACATTATGTCATATTTACTGTTTTCCTGTCTTTGTCAACCAAAATTATGTAAAAGAAACTCATGTTGAGCCAAATTGGAGGAGACAGAAAATGAATAGTGGCGAAGTATCTTTGTTGCCTCAATTGTACTACTACATACAACTTAAAGAATTCCAAGATCTCAAATTGTAATGAAAGATAAGACCAGATCAATTCTTATAAAAGCAATAGATAACAGAAGAACACAATACAAAGATGGATCATAGAAGCTTTGTTGATATGCATAAATGCTCTACCATTGTAGTATTAGATCGTTGACAATATATAGTAGATGAAATCCCACTAAGATTTATATTCTTTCTTACTTTCAAGATCATTTCTGTAAATTAATATAACGGAGGACCTGAGATGCTTGCCAAAGTTTTACAAGTTAGTGCGCATAAGATCAAGAGTTTCCCCCGCCTGCAACTTTGTTGATAAACGGAGCTTTCTATAATCAGTGAAAGTGAAAGGAACATAGATACGGGGGTGTTCAGCATCCACCAGCTCAGGTGGTGGTTCCACTGCTGTGTCCCTTGGTCCCAAGAGGAATGAAGCAATAGACACCCGTAGTTTTGCTTCCTTGCATATCACTCTATGCTTGACTGTGTGTAATCTTCCATTGCTCCATACCTTCACATAGCAAAAGCAAATATCATTGTCTAGTTCTTTTTTCTCAATCTTAGAAGGGTAACGGAGTAGGAATTATCTAACTTCCTGCTAAACAAACCCCGCCAGAGGCTAGCATAAGATTGTTGGAACACGTCAAATCTTGAAAATGAACTAGGTAGAGTAGCAGCATAGTTACCGTGCCTATGTCTCCAAGATTCACAAGGAGGGTGTTTGGCCAAGGATCAACTGCTACAAATTCACCAGACTTCTTCATGACCTCAAGACCGCCAACGCTTTCATCATCCTGTAGAATAGTAAGGAATCCTGAGTCTGTGTGTGTCTGAACCCCAGAGGAACCTACAGCTTCTGGGGTGAAGTGGTACTTATTAATCCTAAACTGACAAGGCCAATCCTCAAAGGAAACATTTGGCAGTCCCAACCCTTCACTCATCTTTCGCAGAATGTCCATCATTAGTCCATTAATTGCTGCAGCATACTTCTTGATTGTCTCTCTGTTCACAGTAGGAATCAAACTGCTTTTAAGCATTCTAGTAAAGCAGTCTTTTGAGATTTCTTCAACATGAAATGTAAGTATATGTTTACCCAAAATGCCCCCCATTGTTCTTAAAATATATTCAGATATCAATTCCTTTTTCTTGTTAATTTCTTTATGAAGCCACTCCAGCAGGTAAGAAGCACTTCTTTTGGATAGTCGTAGTATTACTCTTGTAGTTTCTTATTTCTTTGATTTCTGTTACTATTTTTTTTTTTGAGAAAGGTAACTTGTATTATAAACAAAGAATACATAAGGAGTATTAAAGTAATACTTACATCCAAAAGTTGCTAAAAGAAAAGAACTCCTATGGAGGTCATAAGAACTCTAAAATACTAGTAATATCCTCTGCATCTTGAGGATATTCATGTTTACACCAAAAAAAGAAAAGAGCCATGCAATTCAACTTCAAATTCTGCATAGAGCAGCTCTTGTTTTTAAAACATCTTGTACTTCGATTATCGCATTATTTTGTTGTAGTTACAGATTGATTTTTCATCCATCGTTTAGTATTCTGCCTTGTTACTTCAGTCCTGTTATTTTCTTGAGCCGAGGGTCTACCGTAAACAACCTCTCTCTTCCTCCCAAAGTAGGGGTAAGGTCTGCGTACACACTACCCTCCCCCAGACCCCACTTGTGGGATTAGACTGAGTATGTTGTTGTTTAACTCATATTACAATTATGAGAAAGAGTAACAAACAAGAGAAACAAAAGCTCCTAAGTGTCTATTCACTTCACTGATCATTTAAGCTCCTTCAACTGTTGTGCTAAAAGTAAGTACCAAACTCACTAGTACTATGAACAAATCAATTCCAGATCCCACCAGCAAGTCTCTCACATAGCTAATTCATCAAGGATATCAGCAATAAATGAATTCTACTTTTCATTTTCAGAAATCCAACACCACCAACTATCAATGCACAAAGAACTCAACTTTCCATTATCAAGAAACTAAAAAAGTACTCCCTCCATCCCAATTCAAATGTCTTACATTTCCTTTTTCAGTCTACCCCAAAAAGAGTGTCTTTTTCTATATTTAATAAATTTTCCAATTTCGACAGGGCAAGTCACTGATATAGCTAATTGATAAAGGGGTAACAGCAATGAATCCTCCTACTGTTCATTTTCAAAACTTCATCACCAACTTCTAATGCACAAAGAACTCAACTTTCCATCATCAAGAAACTAAAAAAGTACTCCCTCCTTCCCAATTCAAGCATCTTAATTTCCTTTTTCAGTTTGCCCCAAAAAGATTGTCTTTTTCTATATTTACTAAATTCCAACATTCTAAACAGACAAGTCACTGACAGCAATGAACTCAACAAAGAACTCAACTTTTCATTTTCAAGAAACTGAAAAAGCAAAAATCAAACCTTTGGTGTGGAGATGCATCCAACTGAGTACAAAACTCATCTACATCTTCAGGACAAGACATATCATAGAGACCCAAAGCTTCATAAAGAGGGTTTTTTTCACTAGGAGCCATGTACCCAGATCCTGCAATTACATCTTTGTTGCGTTTCTTGATTTCAGTTGGAAGATTAAACAATGTCCTCACCACTTCCTTCATCTCTGCCATGAGTGAAACTGGAAGAATGTTATCATGGTTCAAAATTCTGAAACAACCCCATTCTTCACAAGCCCAAATCAACTTGGATGATTGCCTTGGAAAATCCTGTAAATCAATTACTGGCACTGAATTTTCAGTCTCCATTTTGTTTTTGTTTTTTGCTCTTACCTTAGTTTTTTTTCTTTTTTTGGAACTTGGGGTTTATTCTTATAATAATAATAATGAAATGAAAAACTCCCTTTATCGAAAATTTTAATCATGATAAAAAACGTGAAGAATTTGGATGCGTTGAATTAGAGAGGAACACAACGTCGGTCTCTCCGCATGATTGTCTCAATGCTTTTGGACATTTGAAGCATACATCACTCTCCTGTGAGAAAAACAAAAATGTGTAATTCATTTAATTTATTATATTTTCTCTTCGTCAAATTATTTGTCATGTTTCTTTAAAAATATTAATTTGGAAGATTTTTGATAAAAATAAAATTTTAATTTCTCTTTATTGAATATGTGTCATCACTCTACAATTTAAATATATATAGTCGTCAAGAACAATTACTATTAACGTAAAATAGAAAATAATAATTAATTTTATTTCAGGACGGAAATGACAATGATATATTCAATGTATTTTATAAATGATGTTTGAAAAACAATTACGTATTTCGTTGGAAGTGGTAATAAAAGAAAAAAAATGTTGAGGTAATTGATATAACAAGGGATTATAACATAAGGTTGTTTTCCAAAAAAGAGACAAGAATTAAGAAATGAAATAGGAAAAGTTTTTGCTCATTTTCATTACGGTATGAATGAACACTTTACCAAGAAGTTTATAAATTAACATAAGTTGGTAAGAATGCTGAGAAATGGTCTTGGTAAGAATGCTGAGAAATGGACCATTCTGCTGAAATTTCTCTTCTGGTTCCAGAAAAAGAAATGCAAGATATAAAAAACAGCTATATTGGATTGGAGTATATATAACAAATCAATCTGGTAAGTAGGGCTGCTTAGCCTAATTATGTGGAGTAATAATTATCAACAATAATTAGGATTTCCATATCCAAAACAAAGAACAAAAAAATTGGGGAGAAAGAATGAAGTAACCATTGATTGATTGTTTAAGTATAATATACACATATAGCTCTATACAACATGAGGATTGAGGACTCTCTAAGCTAAATTCTTTAAGACTCCCAATCAGACAACAAAATTCTGGGAAGGAAAATCTCAACCACTTCAGTACCAGCTTGAACAAGCTGTTCAATTGTTCACTATTTCCTTCATCAAACTTTTGAGGCAGCTAAACAAGATACTCAACTTGATTTTCGTTCCACATGTTCAATTCGAGAGGTTTTACATGGAATAACGACCATCAGTTTTGTCTTTAGTTGGTCGTTCATCTTGGATTTCCTCCAATTCCTCATCATCTCCTTTTCTACCAGCTTGTTCCTTCCAATATGAAACTAGCTTCTTTAAACGAGCGACTTCCTTAGAGGAAACATTTTTGCTGGGATCATTTACAATAGAACGAACTCTTGATGCATACCTGTGAAGCATGGAAACCAAATTTCCAGATAAGTAACAACCCTTGAATATAAGTCGGCTCCATCGTATGATTAACATGATCAATTGAAGGAGGAAAATTATTAGCTCATTTAAATATGAATAACACGATCAAGAAATGAAACAATAAAGAACATACGTCAAGGAATTGTGAGTCTCATCTAAGTTTGATTCTGCTGGAGAGATGTTTACAAACATCAGGGTTTTTGCATTTCCACCTAACGAGTCGCTCATCAACATGGTTAGCTTGTGATTTCGATAAGGAATGTGTTGATTTCCTGAAGATAATGCACTTATAACATCACCAAGTGCTGATAGGGACTTGTTAATGCTTTGAGCTTCTTTTAATTGATTGCCAGCTGAGCCTGACTTTTTAACTCTTTCTGAGCCAGCAAGATCCACAAAACTCAGCTGCAGACACATAGAAAAGAATAAAGCAGAAGCTAAAGGTACAAAGCTAAGCTTTTTAGTGATTCTATATTCGTAAGGTAAATAACAAATTAAGATATACTAGCTCTAAGATCTACCTAAAGATGCTAAGAAATAAAACTTGAGCTACTCCATCAAACTATAAGGATGCGAAAAAGTTTAATATTTCAACTAAGGAAAAGCGAGTGACCAACTGTCTTCTGTCTACTTGCACTTTGAAATTCCCCAGAATGTGCAGCATCATATAAGTCGAACAAGTTCAAATTGTGGCAATAAAGCAGAAGGGTGTGATACACCTACCTTCCCTCTGGCAATTGCCTGAGTTTGAAGATTGGTACTCTCGATAATAACTGAAACAATAAGATGAGATCTTGAACTCTGCTCATTCATCAAGGTTCCAGTCGTATGACGCTGTTCAGATCCTCTTTGAATTATTGTCTTAAGCTCCTCGTACGTTGAAATAGACACCACTGTCACATTCTCCACAGAAACCATGCCCTGTTTGTACCAAATTTTGCTAATTGTTACAGCCAAAATAAAAAGATAAACATAAGCTTATCCAAGCTTAGTAAAATGAAAAGAAAACTGCAAAGGACTTATTGACATAAGAAGTATTGATAATTTGAGAAGCTCCAAATAACAATCACCTTTGAATCCTTTTTTATATCCAATTTCAAGCGCTTTGCTTGCTTTGGCAATAAAAGATCTACCAACGTATCCTGATACAACTCTACCATGTACGCCTGAACAAGTTCATAAACACTATGAGTTTACAATGAGCCTTCTGGAAGTCCATCTATTCAGGTACTCTATAACTTACAAGCACCGAATAAGGAGAGAAATCATATGAAAACAAAACAAGTTGAAAAGATTCTTTTGGAAAAAAAATGAATTTTTTTTATTTAACTCATTCTCAAAAGGCGAAAACATTCAAATACTCAGTCTCGACAATTTTTGTAATAAATGTTTAACTGAAGAAGTGGAAATTTAGAAACTTGAAGCATAGCATAATTAATGTGCCTTCTTTATAAGGTAACGTAATTTGAAGCATAATTGATGTACTACCTAAATTAATTAAAGCCGGAATAAAAACCTATCATAATCTTTTAAAGAATGAGAAGAGTTTACCTTTAAAGAGAAAGAGAACTTATTACTGTCTTTTTTCATAATTCTAAAGAGTTCGGACATAGCTCTTGGTGTCAGTCCTGGATTACTATCAGCTCCATAGATTGTGAATGTCTTGCCAGATCCAGTTTGTCCATATGCAAATATGCAAACATTATATCCATCAACAGCTGATTGCACCAAATACTACACCACCAACATGTCAAACTTAGAAGCTGCTAGGCAATATAGATTAGATCCTAGCAGAGTTCTAAAAGAAATCAATTGATTTCTTGCTTACCTTAGTATCTTCGAACACATCATCTTGGGTGGCATTTCCATCAAAGACACGGTCATACATGTGCTGTTTTGCTTTATCATCCTTCCATAAATGTTCAACGGTAAACTCATCAACACTTCTGATGGCATTTCTTTCCTTTGCTATAATTTCCTTTTCACAAAGTGGTCTTAATCTACAGTAGACTCTGATCTTGCCTTTCATATCTGAGACATGAGTAAGGTCCATAACATTACACTTCAATAGAAATAGCAAATAATTTTTTATAGAAAAATGTTCAGTGGCACAAAAAAAGGCCGGTAATTTTACCTTCTATTATGTTGAAATACTTTTTCCTCAGAACTTGTTCCTCCCGGTAAAGTGCTTCCATTTCTGCCAATTGAGCCCCTTGCATTTTCAAGATGGCAGCAGTTTGTGCATTTTTTCGATCAATATCCTGTTAAGTAATTGCCAAATTAAAAATGAAAATATGATGTTTGATATGCCATAATAAATAGGGCATATATTATAACACAAATATCTAAGTATAAACTCTGCCTATGTGAGCTTGCTAACATTGCTGATTCCAAACACATCTAAAGGAAGTAAGTACACTGCCAGTATAAAACTAGTTATTGAATCATGAATCCTTGCAATTCAAAACCAATGGGTACTGAGGATCACATAACCGATAGCAACTGACTTGGGATAGAAGCATAGTTATTGTAAATATTAGTACAAGATGTTCACCTCTTTCATTTCTCTCAGCTCCTCAAGCTCCTTTAAATTATTCTGTAGCATTTCTAGTTCCTTGTCTTTAGCTTCAAGACCAGACTGTGCACCAATCAAGTCGTGTTTGGCCTCTTCTAGTTTCCTTTGAAGTTCAGAGACTTGGAGCCTCAGCCCCTTGCATTCTTTTTCAAAATCTTTCTGAAGGTTTTCCATCTGTACTCCAAAAAATCAGTGCAGTCAAACAAAAATATCAATATAAATATAGAATGCATGCTAAACACAAAGACATTGAGGCAACATACCTCATTTGATTTCTTCTTCTCTAGTCCTATGACTTTTTCCTCAAGTGATGCTTTTTCACTCAAAAGCCTCCTCTTTGTTTCTTCTGCAGTACGCAAATCCATAGTACGAGCTTTCAACTCTTCTTGGATCTTCTGTAAGACCTGCAAGTGAAAGCCACATAAGTTTGTTTTTTGTAGGTTTATTAAACTCACCAACTAATTTCAACAAAAATTTAAGGCCAGACACAAATTTATAGCGCTACCTGGTTATTTGCTTCAACCAACTCTTTCGTAATATTTTTCTCCAAACCTTGAGAACTTAACTTTGAAAGACGCATTTCCAAGTTTCGCTTCTCCGTTAGGGCAGCCTGTAAGGAATGGGCTTATACAATGAGATGATTGTCACCTCAATAAATCAAATTCAAGCACATTTAACAAACACCTGAAGCTCTGCATCTTTTTCATCGCATAAAGATCTGAATTTATCACAATCATAAGCAGCCGCTGCTAAATTTTGCTTCTCGGAACTCAAGTTATCTTTTAAGCCGTCCAATTCTTCTTGCATCTCTGATTCTTGTTTTTGCCTTTCATGTAAATCTTCCACCAACTGCTTATCAGTACAAAGACCATGAGCTCGAAGCAAATGTGTGCATTTGACTATTGTAATTGAAAAGATGGATGAATGCATAATGGGTAGAGCAAATAAGTGTCATGTACATTTTGCCAGAGAGATAACTGATAGGAGATGAGAAATATATTCTAATATGGCAAGTCAATTATGTTTTCATATTACCAGCAGCATATACCTTATACGTTAAACATTTCAATTCTAACTTTGCAAAAAGCAAAAAAGTTTCTTCTACAACAACAAATACCACTCACATCATTGACTTTCTTCTGAGATTCTTCAAGGGCTCTAGACAAATCCTGAATGCGTCTTTCATTAATATCAGTGTTTGCAGTTTTGAGATTATTTGGAACATCTCCATTAACAGAACCATTAGCCGAAGAGCGGGCTTTAGAGTAACGGCGTAACATCACATCATTAATATGTGTTTGCAGAGCAACACAAATTTCTTCTCCCTGCATAGAATGGAGATGTCAAGCTATGCGAAATGGTGAGTCAGATTCAATGACACATAACATAAGCATGTTCATTGGTAATAGAAACACTTTGAACCTGTTTCGTTTCAAACTGAAATATATGCAAGACACCAGCAACTCTCATCTTAAAGAACACAGCAGTGTTGCTGCTACCAAATTGCATTATGTCCCTAAGCTCAGCTGAATGCAAATATTCCTTTGGAACTGGACGGAAAAAATGAACCTGTGGAGAAACAGAAAATCATGCCTAAAGTAAATACACATCTCACTTCTAAAACAGTTAAGCAACACTATACATTATATCATACCCCACGCTTATTAATGCCCAATACAATTTTCCCAGGTAAAAGTCCAATTGGATCATCAATCTTCCGAACAGCAAAGAAAACTGAATTCCCATAAGGAAGTGTCCTCAGGATCCGCAAAAATTGTTGTTTGGCATCATCTTTTGTCAGATTTTCCTAAAGAGAAGAAAAGAATGAACCTCATGTTGGTAGCAGTTCACAAACACAAGAATCCAAGTAATTTAAACATAAATCATAGGATAGCTGGTTAGCAGATTTTTAAATAAATGAAGGGAAAACTAGCCACGATGAAAAGAAAAAAGAAACAAATAGAACAAAGTGAACAGTTAAAAGTAACTCAGGGACAACAGCCGAGAACTGCTGGTAATTCTCTTTTCCTGCTCACAAAAAAATGACTTTGAGAAATGCAGAAAACATAAATAATCTAATATTGATTGGAGAACACTTGTGTGGTGATGACATGAGCTTAAATAGAACAGCAAGGATTCATCCAGCCGACCCCAACTTGTTTGGGACTGAGGCATAGTTCTTGTTGTATTGATTGGAGAACACCTTTTATTATGAATGAAAACACATGTAGTAAAGCATAAAAAGCATCATTAAGGAAAAAGTCAATAAAAGAACTTCTATTCAATTTCTTAGAACATTATTCATTGACCAAGAAGACCCAGATAAAGCTCTTACCATCACTTTGTAACGAGAAAGGATGTCCAATTCCCATTCCCTCTTTGCCCGTGTCATTGCAATTTGTCTGGGTAAAAATCGCTCCAGCAGTGATGTCCAGTCACTATAAAAAACTAAACAACTTAGCATATAGGAAAGGCATAAACACTACAACATGTTCAGGCTTTGAAAGGAAAAGTACCAGTAAGACGGAATAAGAAACTGGAGACCAGTCAAATATGGGAGAAAGTATGAGGCATAATCTAAAAGGAACTAAAGTTAAAAAAAAGAACTACTGACGTGCAAGATTCAGGGCCATCAACATATCCAATGTCAACCAGGATCTGCAAAGCAGACATCTGTGCAGCATCTTCCTTGCCAACAGGATAATTGCCCATTATGTAATCATGTTGTAACTGTGAACACAACAAATATTATTACATAGTAGAATCAACTTTGATTTGAAGGTATACCAATGACTTGAACATTTAGCATAGCTCAATTAACTATACGCAAACTAACTTACTTGAACATACGACAATTGCACGAACATTGGCTCTGTAACAGCTTCATCTGACTCCCGAAACAACTTTTTCTTGAAAATCAATTTACAATGCAAAATCTCTCCTTTACTTCTATCTTTCGATGCCTTAAAGTCCGCCAGAAGATCTCCAATATACTTATTTTCATCCAAACCAATATACTCCTCTACAGAAAATATACATGTTTAAAATGCAGAAGATTCGACCTTAAAATAATTTATAATGTGGAAAGGAAATAGTACCATTTCCAAGGTCTGGAGATTTAGATCCAGTAACAACCTTACGGCACTCGAACAAACTGAAGCTAGCATGAGCAGACAATTTGATTATCCCTGCAACCTCCTGAAAGAGAAGGTATGTCACAAAAAAATTATAAAGGGAAAACATCATCATCATTTCCAACGTTAAATATATCTGTTTCCTCAAGAAACTAAGAATGCTTAAAGAGGACTTCTTAATTAAAAAAGTGATAATAAACCATGACAAATGATCTTAAAGCCCTTTCTGAAATTCAAGTTAGAGAGACTAAGCCATCTATGACTATAAATAAGTCAAAACTTTAAAATTCTTGAGTCTTGAGAAAATGAGTCTAAGAAAGAGAAAGAAAAGAGAAGAGAATAAGAAGTAACAGACAGATAGCACAAAAGTTAAAGTTCCACAACAAAACATAACAAAGACAAGCTGGACTATGCCGGAGCATACTGCAGATTTGCTTAGTTGCTGGATGAAAAGAGGAGGCAGCAAAAGTCAAAAGAAGTGGTGGAGGATCATCCCACAATGCATCTGGTGGACAGTTTGGAGAGAGAGAAATGGGAGGTGTTATGAAGATAGATCCAATCCCATCCAGAAAGTTAAATGGAATTGTATAATATCTTTCTACTTTTGGTGTAAAGAAGTAGGTTTAGAGGATATAGATCAGTTTGTAGATTTATTAAGATCTCTGTAAGTATCTTGTTTTCTAGTTGCTGTTTTTTTTTATCTAACACTTTTTGATGGTGTCCAGCATGTCCTTAATGCTGAGGAATACACATATACCAGTTTCAAAAAAAAAAAAAGTTCCAGAACAAACTATAAGAAGCTGTCCATTGACTGATCAGAAGTCAATTACTACCTAAACACTATGCCAAGTGAATAATAGATTTAGAACAGACATGAGATGTATGTTGGAAGGAAGCAAAGATTGATAAAGAAACCATCTAAGGAATAGAACAAAGAAGAAAGGAAAAGATAAAAGACTGAAACTGCCAATGAAAATTTTAGTGTTAAATATCATGTCCCACATGGGTCGTGTAAGTGCAAAAAAGGTTTATAATGGCCTAGGCCACTCCAACAGTGCCTTAAGGTGTTGGGTTGTGCAAGTCCAAACTGTTTAAGCTGTTGTAAATGAAGGCTTGCTATTACATCTTAAACTACATATCATCTATCAATTAGGTTTATTTTTCAAGAATATCTATTTTTATGAGAATTATTTTACTAGGATGTTTCATTCAAGAACACATTTGGAGATGCAGCATTATCTTACTCTCTCCTGCACACATTGTCGCCTCCCTCTTATAGTATCTTCAGAGCAGTGTTCACTTTCATGAACGAAGGAAAGAGATATCACACATATAAAATAACCAAGAAGTTACAATTATCCTACTTTTTACCGTGCAACTTTTCTCATTAATCATTATACCTTAATACCAAAGAATAACTAGTGAACCCCACATATAAATAGAGATTTTCCAACTATCATGTTAAGTTCATACTGAGTCAAACATGGCCATTAGCTCTTGGATAAAAGAATAAAGAATAAAAACAAGGATCTCCTAAATCATGTTTTGTTCGACCAAATTATAAATCCCATGTGTATTTTTTGTTAGCATAACTAAAACATTAGCATGAAATTTATCAAAAAAAGTATATTGTATGTAAACTATATGGAAATTCAACAATACCTCAATAGCATCAGCAACAGTGGTTGCCATGTCATATGTAATTTCCTCGAAAGTTTCATCCAAGAAAAACACTATTGTAGTAAGCTTTTTACCAGTTAAATGAGCTTCAATCTCCTCACGACCAGGTATCGTGTGCCTAGGTCCAGCCTTAATCGAACGTTTCAGTGCATTTAGAGTATTTATAGCAAAAACTTGAACCTCGGAATCAGTATTAGCCCCATGTGCTACAGTATGAATATATTCTGACAAGTATCCACCAATTTCCTTGCTTGGAGGCATGCAAGATGCGCACAAGTACATTAGCTCCCATGCTTTAATCAAAGAATGCCTATATGTACGAAACAAGCATGTGAGGAACATAGTCAAGTTAAAAGCAACATAATCAACAGAAAGAAGTGAATATCAGCTTCCCATTTCTCAATCAATAAACTTGATGGTCAAAGTACCTCTCTGGATTATTCCTAGTTTGTTTTGAAATTTGTGCAAACATTTCATCCCGAAGCTCAGATCGCTTCAGGGCCTGCTTAAATAGCTTGCCAACAAGCTCAATCCGTTCATCCAAGCTGATTGGAGCCACTCTATCATAGGAATCAATACCCATATACTTCAGAATAGACTGAAATAACTTAACTGCCCTGCTAATGAGATCACCATTTAGTTTCAAAATTGATGTTGGAATGGGTTCCTGTCAAGATGCAAGTTGTTTTTAGTGTGCAAGTGTCAAGAGATACATTTTCAAAAGTGTAAAGAGCTAAATAGCTTAATCTCACCCTTTGGAAACACAGCATATCCTCAAATGTAAACTTTTCTCGAACTTGGGGCCCAACAGATTTTTTCAGGAAGAACCCACGTTTGCTAGCAGAGTGAATCTGTTTTTGCATAGCCTTCAAAAAGCCCTCAACCTATAACCACAAAGAATCTATATTACCTCTCTGAAGTAGCAGCAAAGCATAATTGAGATCCACCATGTCATTCTTAACAAAATTCAGAAAAGGAAAAAAGTCACTCCAATCTTTGTTGTGTGCATACAGACTGAAATGATTATCTTTTTCTGCAAAGTCATGTCTCACCTGGAATCTGTCAATATATGGTATTGCACCAGCAAGTTCGGGTGACAGGACTGATGAGAGGGTATTTGGAGTGCTGCACATTACATAATGCAAAAACGCAGTTGGTAACCATAAGTCCATAACTTGTAAGGTAGGAGATACAGCATTGGATAACACTAACCATTTTCATCAAAGTATGAAATAAGACCAAAAAAGTAAATATAATGGTAAAAAAACTTACGGTGGAGCGAAATTGGAACCATCACTATCATAATCATCCCCATTTGAGGTTGGAAAGGAATAGTGTGAAGGTGTTTCATATCCATTGCTTGAGCCAAAAGATGACCTGCTTGACCTCATACTAACTGGTGGCATATCAGAAGTCATGTTCCAAAACTATAATCTCCACTCTATACAGCTCTCAAAAAGACCATCCAACTCCTCAATTAAACGGTAATCTTCAATAACTTCAGCAGTTACCTAACCAATTTAGTAACACCATGATTACTAAAAATCAAAGAAGTCCAAAAGCATATAACCCCCCGCACTTAAGAAGATGCCAATTTCAACAAAGAGTCAACAGAGGTCCCAAACCAAAATCAACACTAACCATAAAAAAAAACTAACAGAATCTACGATCAACATTGCACGATATGCTACAAAGCTCACAGAAAACTCAAAAAAATCAGATAACTAGCAAGCTCCCTAACACAAAAACCAAATTACCAGCAATGTTTTCTACTAAACAAGAACCAAAGAAAATTACCCACCAAGATCCATGTACCCACAAGCACAGAACACTAAAAAAATTCAAACTTGGTAATAACAGTACAGTACACATTGGGTAAAAAGACAATAAGTCGTAACCCAGTGAAGTAGATCGAGAAACCACAATGACGAAACAGAAAAAAAACGTAAAACCCCATTCGACAAAACAGCATAATATGAGCTGTAACTCATAATAAAACGCCTAAAAACCTCTGGGTATGTGTTTTCTTGTTTTGGGGCTTCGTGTACCTAAACAAAAATGGTGTTCAGAAGCTCAGAAATTAGAAATAGGAAAGCGAAGAATATATGAGAATACCAAGAGGAAATGATGAAACCCATTTTGGATTTATGCTGAAAGTGAACCTTTACTTAGAAGAAAGATCGGTACCAGAGAGAGAAAGTAGAGAGAGAAAGAGATGTTAATGGTGGAGTGAAGGAGGGAGAAAGAAGATGGTGTGAAGGTCACGAGAGTTTTTTAAATAATTTCAATTTCAAACCTCTTTTTTTCGGAGTAGGGGAAAATAACAAAATATAAAAGGGAAATAAGGATAGGTTTATTTTGATCCTTTAAATATTTTTAATTACTTAAATTTACTAAAGTGAAACATTTACCTTTTATTTAACTAATCGAATGAATAAACCAACAAGGGTTATGGAAATATCGAGTTTAAAAGGGTGTTTGGATTGACTTAAAAGTTGGTTAAATCTACTTTTAAGTCAATTTTGACTTCTGCAAGTATTTGATAAATATAAAAAATAATTTAACATAAGTCAAAAATAACGTATAATAAGTTGGGAAGTGTTTGACAAGGTTAAAAATATAACTTAAAATAAGTCAAAAATCAAAAGTAGGTCCCTCTACTTTTTATTTTTTGACTTAAAAGTCATTACATTTTGACTTTTTATTTTTTACTTAAAAGTTACTTTTCTTAAGTTAATCCAAATGGGCTCTAATTCACCCCAAATATAGAGTCATCTTTGTTAGGGAGATTAACCGAATGAACTTAAAAACTAATTATTACTATCAAAAAAGCACTACTAAACACACACAAAAAAAAAATCGAACAAATTGATCAAACTCGATTGATTATAGTAAAAATAATTTTGTGAAATATTTAAACAATTAAGCTTGGACGATTTTTCACTTTCTTAATTTTTTGGTCAAGTAAAATCAATGGCGTTCGATTGATTTTATCAAATGGATCAAACCAATCCAATCGATCGGTAATTGAATTAAAATTTAAAGGACTAAAAATGATCGAAGTCATATGCTAAGGACTAAAATAAACCTACTCATATATAGGGAACAAATTTGGCTAAAAATTCTTAATACGACTATTTTAAATATCAGAATTGTCTTTTTTAACATTTTTTCTGAAATTGGTAATTTTTGCTAAAAGAAGTGAATAACGTTTTTAATTTTAATGGGCAACTTTAGAATGAACAATTCTTATGTAACAGTTATACATTATACATATGTTATTATATAGTACCTTTATATTATATAGTTCCAATAATATTACTCATCATTTAATAGAGGCGGAGCTGATATTAGGAGTTTGGGTTCTAAATTTTCTTCATCTTCCTTATTATTGAGTTGTCAATCAGTTTTGTTAGGGATTCACAAGCTATTATTTAATTTTTTAGTATAAATATAGAATCTACGAAAAAACTATTGGATTCGTTCGAACCCACGAACCCCACCTAGGTCTGCCCCTGCATCATTACATTGTATGTTAATCAACCACACCGAGTTTAGAGGTAAAGTATTTTCACTTTAAATATATGAAAACTAAAGTGTATCACTTTTAGATGCGGTAAAATTTTATAATAATAAAATATGTCACTTGTTCAGCATTAATAACTGCGTAAATTAAACCTTCATCGACTAACGTATTAAAAAAAAAAGTAAGAGAAAATTTTAATGTTAATGGTTACAATTTTTTCTATGAGTTTGTAAGTATATAAATGCAAAATAATGGTTGCATCGACCTATCTTCAATAAATGTGGAGCATATTTAACACTCCTAAACCTATTAAATATCATCTATATTCTATAAGTTGGTGTTTGTTTGGAAAATACTAAACAAATCTAATTTAGGATATTAGATAATCTTGTTAAATTAAATTAGATAGGACTGAAACTCAAAATTGTACCAAGGAAAGTCGTGTTAAGTAATTGATTTTTTACAAACATGATTCGTGGTGGGATTTGTCTTGAAAATTTCTCTTTTTTTAATCAAAGTCTTGAATTCGAGTCTTGAGGAGTCATTTGATGTGAGGTATAAATTATAATAATCTCAGGATAAAATAAAAACTCTAAAATACTACATTTGGTTGGAAGCATTCAGGTAGTCCTAGAATTATTTATCCAATCATATCCCAAAATAATTTATTCCGAACCAAACGACCTCGTGTTATTTGGTCTACTTCAATACGAATATCGAACAAGCACAAAGCGATGGAGACAAAAAAAAACTCATATGTATGTACTCAATTATTTGTTATATATGAATGAATAAATCATGATCATACGTGCTTTCCGATGAAAATAAAAGGGAAACTAAACTAAGTTGCAAGTGAAAATTGAAAGAACAATAGTTTAAATCTAGAATTTCTAGTCTTTCATCAAATCATTTCTTATATTGCATGTACAAAAAAAAACATAGCAAAGTAATTGATGATTTTTTTTTCTTTTTCTTTATAAATAGAGGCACAATTATATGGTACAAGAACAATATTCATTTGGATGTGACAGAAAGAATCTAAGAAAAATTGAGGGAAAAGTACAAAAATAATAATCTATATGGGCAAAAGAAATGGAAATGGAAAAAAAAAAGATTCTTTACCTATCCTATTGGTTATAAATTATCAATTATAATGAACATATTGGACTGAGACTTTGCAACTTTAGTTGGTACCTGGGGTGGCCTAATGGGCAGCATGTATTACTAGGCACTAGCTAGGACCAGTGTCCCCTACCACATAACACTTATATTCTAGTATCATATAATTGTCTTCTCATAATTAATACACCTATAATTGTATCTCAATGTAATCGTACATATGGCGGTTTGAGGAGGGAAGAATATATTATATGCAGATCTTAATGTTATTATCTCATATAGATAAGAAAATTATTTTCTAGATAGGCAATTGAGATGAGATCACAAAATTCAACAAGAACATAAAATTTAACCCGAAAATGAATGAAAGCGATATTGAAGAGTTGAAAGGAAAGTTGGATTGAAATACATAAAAAGATCAAGTGGCAAGCAAGAAAAATACTAAAAAACACCGTCTACATTATATGTGTCTTTTAAGAACTTTTGCGAACATCTTTTTTTATTAAAAAATCATTATCTTATTGCTTTAATCTTGGAAATATTTTTTATCTCTTCTTAAACATTTTACTAATTGTAATAATATGGAGTAATGCCTTATTGTTTTTTTTGGTTTAAAATATCAAATATTTTAAGACATATTTAATTTGTTAATGATCATTTTTGCCCTCAAGTGGCATTTTAGATGGACTCGTTGTGTTTCTCCAATTATGGTCGACTTAGAAGGGGTATTTTGAAAATCACTCCTACTTTTTTAATTGAAAATGAGTAAAAATAAAATAAAATGATGTATTGAAAACAACCTTTTCTAAACTACGAATTAATGGGAAGCGTTGATGTGGATTCAAAATTTAAAGTTTATATGTTTTTACAGCCATATAAAATAAATACTACAATAATAATTAGATTTACTATCCTGGAGATACCACAGTCATTACTCTTCATATGTGCACTGAATAAATTCATTCTTGTACAATATAGAACCGTTGAATTAGTCAAACACGATGCAATGAGTTTGACAGAAATGTTTACATGATTGGGAAATATTTATCACATGTTGCACCAACTCAGTCACCTTACGTATTACGATATATTCTGGCATTTGAAACATGAAAAATGAAATTGGTAGGTCCAACAAACTATCCAATCGTGTCATGGCCGAGTGAGTTGGAGGAATTTGAAAATTTCAATCTCAAAATAGACAAAATTAGAGACATGTTCGCAAGTAATGGATGCCTAAACTCCAAGAAAAAAAACTAATTTTAAAACTCAAAATGACTCCTAATTTTTTTTAAAGAAAAAATAAACTGAGGAATTATTTCATTAAATTATATATCTTTTACTTACTTGGTATAAATAAAAGAAAGATCCTCAATTTAGCGTACGTGGAAATTAGAATAAATATGATTCATCATACATATTTATTTATATATATGGAATTAGGAATATTCTTCAGATACTTATTTTCTATCGTTAATGAAAATTGACGTTGTGTTAAGATATTTGAATTTCTTGAGAAAAAAATCTGAAAAAATTGAGATATGTTATATGAGTGGAAGTCTAAAAAATACCTCACTAATTAAAAATGAACCTTTAAACCATAGTTATGTTTATACTAAAGTTAAGTTTCTCATAATCAAATGGCAATCTACGAGCCTAAACGTTTTTAATTATTTGCAAGTCATGAAATTTTCACACAAATACCACATAAAAAATAAAAAACACAAATACCACATAATTATTTTGGAGAAAATGATCTGTTATGACTATCTTTTAAATAAAAAGATATAAAACTAAAAATATAAATTTGTAAAGAGCAACAAAATCAAATTTTCCGTTATTATGTGAGTGAGGTCATTGTTAAGACTGGCAGTTGAACAAAAAAAAGAAAATGTTCATTATTAGATGATTATAGGAGTATAATCTAATTAACCCTTAAGTAGATTATTTAACTTTTACTCCAATTTTATTTCTCAAAGAGAAGAGAGATAAAAGGATAATAATCTTGATTTCAATCATTCCCAAATATGTAAGTCCTAACTTTTCTTTTTCTATCTAGTAATTTTGGGAAATTGTGTTTAAAAAATATCGGAAGATTTTGCAATGTTTCAAATTATCCTTAAAAATATACTTTTGTGGATTTTTGCCAAACAGATGGATGTAACCTGAGCTAATTATTGATAGTATCGTTAAATATTTGTCAAATAAAAAAATATATCATTTTTTTCAAAATTAATTAAAAAGAAAAATATATCAAATAAATTGGGACGGAAAGGAGTACTAGGTATGGCCTATGGTAGTATAATAAATACTCCCATGATCTTTTATAGTTCAAAATCACCATTAATAATTTTAAAGCTTCCTTGCCCCTTTAAATCTGTTCATCTTAATAGTGACAGATGAATAAGGACATGCAATGTAAAGTCAGTGTCATGTGAGTCCCTACTGCTCTCTTTGCTTCATAATATATACGTAAACGTGACATTTAATTTAGTTCATCTGATATTTATGTGTTATAAGTTTGATTGAGTATAAAAAAATATTTAAATTTGTATAAAGTGGAAAAAGTAGACACATGCTCCTACGTAGCATTCTATGTGACAATTCACGTCCTATATGGTGTCCTACGTATATTTATGCCACATATAATATATCACTTTCATCAACTAGAAATTAACAAACATCATATGATCGTTGCATTGATGCATACTCGAAGTCGATCTGTGAAAAAAAGTTCAATCTTTGTTTAATTAGGCATGTCATGTTTCCATATTAAGTATAAATGGTCCAACATAAAATATTACACCACGAAATTTAATATATACAATACAATATAACATTATAAGCATTACATATGTATTGTGTTAATCTTCTATAAAAGTATACACAAATATGGGCTAAACTGATCAACTATATATAATGTTGTATAATATTTTATGTTGAACTATGTACTATTAGAAAAGAAGAAATTAGTGACGGAGAAAATTCGATAGCTAAACAACAAAAATCCTATGTTAATCCCATTCAGCTATGAATTAGCGACGGATTATAAGAATATTCAATTAGCCGTAGCTAATTATGTGTTTTTAGTAGTATATGTGACGTAAATAGTTTCTCCAAGTAGACATAAAGTGTAATTTTTCCTTTTTCTAAAAAAAAGAATTTTATCAGTCACTATTTCATGATTTTTATCTCGAGGATAAATTACAAATCTTTAATTAAATAATATTTAAATTGTTCCAATATGACTTTATAATCTACAATTTGTTAAAGGAAATGAATGTGACATGAATATCCTAGTGAAACACAGTTATATTGCCGGCAATGCCGGCTTGCAAAACCTCAAAAAACCAAAATGGAAGAAAAATAAATAAATGAATTTGGATTTGGAGCTAATAAAAATAAATAATTGATAGCTAGGGAATTAAATAAGCTCACGAGAATTTCCACATATCTACACTACTTAGCCAGCAATACCATTAAAAACCATTTATTTATTTTTAGGTATATGAAAGTTGTGACTATTAGAAGAAGGCAGGCCATGACTAGGCAAAATCCAATAGTACCAACAACTAAAAGTGGGAAACACATACTATATTTATCGTTTTAATTTGTTTGTCTTATTTTTAGTCTATTTAAAAATAACGTCTCTTTTATAACTCTTTAATTCTAACACTTTCCGTATAAAATTTTAAGTTCATAAAATTAAATGACATTTTGAAATCGTATTAAGTCAAAATCAGAAAGACAAATTAAATCGAAAAGTACCATTAAAAGTCAAAGTTAGAGTGCTTTTGTATTGAAGACAAACATGAGAAAGTTGGGAGCATAACTTTTTATTAATTTTGATTACTAAGTCAATATTTAATGCACTACGAATTTGCTTTAGTTTTAAATATTTTGTTGGCAATTTCATTTTGTAGGCCAGACAATCTTTATTTTGACAATTGTACAAATATTTGAAGACAATCTAGTTTACATTATGGCAGCCTGCTTAGATTAATTATCCTTGATTTCTTTCACTAATTTTTTCATATTATAATCTATAATCAACAAGTTTGACAAGCTTTTTTAAAAAAAAACCCGTAGAAGATAGATAAAAGAATAAGTAAATACTTCTCATTTTACTTGAACAGATGGTTTATCGGAAAAAAATGGAACAATATTTTTTGTATGACTCTTTTTATAATTGAAGATTTGGATCCACCATGTGCCTTTACTGAAAGTGTTTGCTAGGAGTTGTTATGATTTTGAGGAGAGGCCAAAATAAAGCTAAAAAGTGATTGTCTTTTTCTCTTTTCTTGTTTTTCACTTTTAAATGAAAGGTGATGTCAAATCACTATGATTGTATCCTAATTTAATCAATTGTAGGATTAAAATGACTCTTGCTAAGCATTTTCAATAAACAGTAATTGTGCATTAATTTCCCAAGAACGTGGGGAGTTTTACATGTTTTTCTTTAAAGTCCACCCTCAAATCATTTCCTTTTTGCATAAAGAAATGAATCACAAATGCAGCCCAAACCAAAAAGAGTTTGTAGCCCAATACTAGAAATGGATCTCTATTCTAATATATTTGTCTATGACGAGGTTAGAGGTGTTGTAACAAACGTGGCTATAGTAAAATCCCTCTAAGTGGGGTCTGAAGAGATAGATGCAGACTTTACCAAGATTGTTTCTGAAAGACTCTTAGTGAAAGACGAGTTAGAAATAACCTTTGGGACCCTGGCTAAAGGAGTATGTGCACTTTGTGAGGAAATAGTCCATTGCTACAAAGTTGTCTCCTTATTTTCTTAATTGCTCAGATGAATTCTGGAACCTCGCTCCCTTCTTCCTTTTCTATTTCTTCTTTGCTCAGAAGATTTGGTTATACCCAACACTAGGAAATCTATTAAACTTGGAACTCAACACACACCAACAAAACCTTAGCACAACTGTAGGTGTTGGTTCGTGTGATCAAGTGTAGCACTATTTTTAGCAGGAGCTTAGTGTTCCGGGTGAGCCTAGAATGCAAAAACAAATTCAAGATACTTGATTTTCCAATGATTGCATTTATGAGAAATGTTGCATCCACATGAACATCTATTCTATCAAACTTTGGAACTCACAACATCAAAATTACTAAAACTTCCAACCAAAAAGACATATCTAGAATTACAAAAAGCTGTGACTAGACAATTAAAGAAATTTTGGCTATAAGTAGCAAATTGTTAAATCCATTTTGCTAGACACATTTAGAACAATTCTAGCTCCATCAAACCTTCCATGATTAGCAAAAACCAAATTCAAGATTCTTGATTTTGGTAACAAAGAATTCACACCAAAACCAAAACCAAATTTCAAGATTCTTGATTTTCCAATGATTTCCATTTATGAGCTAGTGCATCAACAACACCATTAAAGCTACCAAAATTGGAACTCACCACATCAATGCCAACACCCAAACTCTCAGCACCAGCAGCTGTAACAGGGCCATGAGCTGCTGCCACCATTCTTGGACATCTCCTCCTCACCATTGACCAATCCAATCCAAATTCCTCCAAACTCTTCAACAAACCCTCCACTTCTCCAGTACTAGTAAACACAATTGCATCAAATCCACACTCCTCTTCACTCTTTATCACCACATCCTCCGCGCATTTCGCCCCTGCCCATCGCGTCTCATACGCGTCTAATCTCACTGGAATCCATCCCCTTTTCGATAAATCCTCAAGGAATTTCGGCACAACAGGTGGTTCATTCAACCCAATCACTAACGGAACAGGGCACAACACTTTTCTCCCTTGGCCTAAACCTAATGCCTCCACTAACCCAGATGGGGTTGCAATTGAAGGAACCAAAACTCGAATTCTTTCAGGGTTTTCACACATTTTTCGAATGAATTCTCGATCCAGAAGCTCAGCATCATTACCCAAAGCAGCAATTGTGAGAATTTCTCCATTTGGGGTTAATGGGGGTGTGGGGTTAATAGATAAAGCTTGTGAAAAAGCAGTAATCCCAGTTTTTGAAGTGAATGCTAGAGCTGAAAATTCTTCAAGAAACGAATTGGGTTCATCGATACCAGCTTGTGGATTGAGGTAGTGATGAATGGAAGAGATTGTTTGTTGTGTAGATTCAACAATGACGGTAGGACACCAAAGGGGTGTCCATCCTTTGAGATGTATAAGCTCAGACAATCTTGGTGCGTAGTTTTGAGGAGTGGTGAAAGCTATGACACAGTTTCTTCTACTGTTTTCAGGGCTGGGAACTGGAGAAGGAAATAGCGGAGGATGCTGCATATTTTTAGAACAACTATCATTGGCTTATCATCTTGGGGCTCAGTTTTATCTATCTTTTTTTTTTTTTTTCTCTGGAAGGAGCGCCAGCCACCGTGCAGTCTTTTAAAATCTAGTATCCCGCATCGGGTGTCTGCACCATACTAATCATTTTATCTGTAATTAAGTTGTGACTAAAAAATACATGTCTTGCATTTGTTCGATGAATATGAAACATCGAATAGAATTTTACCCTTCAACCCTTTGGTTGTACAAATTTAATAGGCGTTTGAACATAGATTTTCCTTGGAAGAAATTCATTAAGGCTTTTTTCCTACAATGCTTTATGTGCCCACTCTCTAGGAATGGTCCATCTTATGTTTCAACTTTAGACATATAAACGTGGTTCCTTTATTACCATTTCTAGTAAAGAATCTGTCTTGTCAGCAGCTAAAAGAAGGTTTAAGGGAAATATAGTCAATCGGGAAATCCACAAGAATCAGTTTTGAAGAACTGATGTGATATCTTTCATTTCAAAATGCAAAAAATGCAGCTACAAGGATGATACCGGGAAAATATTACCCTGCGTCCTCAATTAAGGGATGAGAAGTCTACCCTCAAACTATCAAAATCTTGAAATGAAAAGTTACAAGACCTTCAAAACAGATGCACTTTATGAATTCCCTTTAAATGCTTGGAAAGTGCCTACTTTATTTGCTCTGCCTTCGCATAAGATTTACTAAAATTCCTCAAGTTTTCCAAGGTAGTTTGAATTTGATCAGATATAGTCATGTACAGACATTTTTGTGCTGCCGCATCCAATCCCCCGAGGATGTTTCTCGGCCACTGCTCACTGGAAAAAGATGAATCTCGAGATTGAGATAGAGCCATCTCTCGCAGTTCAGGAAGGTTGAATTCCATTGGCTCACCAACAACTATTTTTATCTCCTGGTTCCATAAAGGAACTGGAGGTCTTCTCCCAAAAGCATAGTTCTCAGGCATAACCTGAAAATTGATCAGATCACAGAATGTATCACAATCCCAAGGTTGTGAATTATTCAAATAAAAGCTGGTTCAACCTCATAAGCAGCACTTAATTTGGATGCGAAAATACACGTGTCCACAGAACTACGATGGATGCACATGTGCATATGTATGTATATGTGTATTTTATCTCCTCGAAATGGACTGAGCATAAAGAAGAGCAGGAGATTGTTAGATGAAAGTAATGACAGTCGCAACATTTTGGCCACTCTTATTTTCTTTTCTTAAGGATGGGACCAGAGGGAAAGGAGAAAACACCTATGATATTGGCAAGGCGTGTCACTTTATTACTGAAGTTGACAAAAGGATCAATGGGCTTTGTAACAACAATGAAGCAGTGCCATAAATGCAACGGGGTGATTTATAAACATTTTAAGAACTGCATGACCTCTAATCCTCTAAGCTACACTACCTTATTCTTCCAATAAAATTAGTTCCACACAGAAGTACGTGAATTTAGCGAACCAAAGTAACATATATAACCAGACAGGTACTATAGATTACAGAATCACAATAATTCGAACATCCTAAGAAGGCCTACCTATTGTGCATAGTGTATTACTAACAAAAACAGCCAAAACCAAATGGATCCATTGTCCATTGCTATTTAGGCATTAGCCCGCATTGTTCACATCTGTGTATGGACAGGCTACTATGTCAATAACCTACCTTTTCAAAACCATGATGGATAATTGGCAAGACAATTGGAGTCACGGGGGCACGAGCAATGAGACTGGCAGTTCCCCACTTCAATCGTCTTATAGGAGCATCTTCTTGACAGACCTTCCCTTCTGGAAATGTATGCAGCTGCCCATTTGGAAGTTAGTCTTTAGCCAAACATGTCATTTCAAAAACTTAATAGGAACTGCTGAGAACATTATACAATATTCTCATGCATTCTGGATGAAATGGAGGTGACGTTAAGCAACACTAGATCATTTGAAATTCAGTCCTCAATTCCAGAATAACATAATATCATATGCATATCCATTTTAGTGTAACAAAATAACCCATAGAGTGTAAAAAAGGATCAATTGGACTAAGCAGAAATTTAGAAAATTTAACACTAACATCCATAACTAGATGAAAGAATTCAAGGCAAGGGATAAAAGACGTATTACCCAGGCTCCGTTAGTCAAACGATCAAGAGCTTCATTCATATGTTCTTGATATATTCCGCCTCCTCTTGTTATTGGTATACATTTACCTGCATATCTTCACACAGTGAGAAGAAACCCACACCAACAATTATGTTTGTATTAAATTGAGTGATTCATGTAGGTCTGTTGCGAATAAAACCAAAAAACCTCAAATCCCCTAATGCCTATCAAATTAAGAGTCTTCTACTTCTCGCTCTAGCAAGGGAAATAAGAAAATATAAAATTGACTGATATACATGTAAGTGGAGAATAAACCACACAGTGACAGATCCAGATCTGAATAACTGATCAATAAAGAAGCATGTTAAACAGAAACATGGGTGCATATATGGATAATAGCTCAATATGAAAGCTTGCTGTACAGAAGCTTGGGTGCAGATCTGACTAACCACTCAATATGAAAAGCTTGATATCCAAGTGAACAGCACAGAAACCATAGGCACACATGCATATTAGAGTAAGAGCTAATATGGAAGTTTCAAGCTAAATCACAATCCTATTCCACTAAGATATAACCTTGAGTTTTGAGAGACTACTTCCGTTTATAAACATAGCTGGTACACATTTTTATTTCGATTATACAACTGGTTCCAAAGACATTTATTGCATCATTCCTACACCCAGAAGCTCCTTCTCTACTGAACTTCTTTTAAGTAAATAATCTCCAGATATTCTCAAATTCTTGTAGAATATATATGCAAAAACATGCTCCGTCCTCCCTAAGGGAACCTAATATTCTGCTACAAAAATGCAACTACCATTTTTCTTTTCACTTTCGAACCCTACTACGATATGGAGTTCGTTTTTTGGGAATGGTAAGGTTGTATAAATGACACACAAGGATTGTGCCAAAAATTACATACAAATCAGTTCCTTTACAATCAATGTAGGAAGCTAAGAAAACCTATCATCCTATTAACTGTATTTCATATCTTCAAGCCTACACCAAAAGCCCAAAAGGGAAATACATCTGTATTTCATAGTGTAAATATTCTCATAGGGAATGCATCTGCGATGAAAATACATGCTTTGGTTCCTCTCCTTCCAAATCACCCACCAAACACACCAGAGGAATGGTCTACCATATATCCCGCTACGATATAAAGTTCGTAAAAGTAATAAAAACACCAAATGATAGGGCATGAAAATACAAGAACAGAAGTGTACCAGACCAACAGATTACACACCGATCCGGAAAAAGTATGACAATACTGTATTTTTAAAGCATATGTCTTCCGCTGCCAGTACCCAACGAGCCAGCTTTGCATCACAAATTGGAAAACCTTTGAATGCCCACATAACTGGGTCATCCAACCTGCAGTTAAGACACACAATAGGAAATAATAGACGATGACTACAACAATCAAAGAATTCCAGAAATTCACTCATTAAATCAACAATCAAATATGCCTCAACCCCAAAATGGAGTTTAGTTATATGCATTCCACTATATCAGGGCACATTTCATACCAATATCAACAAAGATTGAACTAAAAAGATTAAACGGATTGTACACAAAAATACTTCTGTAATTCATTGTCTGTTAAGCATTTATCTCAATAATGGGTATCTTGGCCAATAAACAATTTCTCCGTAATTTCAACTAGCAAAGGTTTCCATGAAAGCACACATCAGAAAAAATCTATCACAGAGAGCTCCTAATGAAGAGACAAAGTGACTTACGTGGACATGTGATTGCTGACGGTGAGGAGAGGAACGCCGGCTGGGCGGGATCGAACTAGCCGGATAAGGGTGTCGCCGTTGTGCACGGTGGTAGTGTTCAGTAGATTGGCCACCACCTTAGCGAAAGTACCTACCGCCGTGATCACCACTTTCCGCGGTAGACCACCCAGGTGGTTTGCTCTCGCCGCCCAGTCCATCGTCCGGCCACCCATTTCCCAAAAAATCCACACTGATGTCAAAACCTTCTTCCATTGGGCACCAAGTTATTACTGACTAATTAAGTACGAGAGATAGACACAATTGGTCCCTTATGTTTGAGGATAGGTGCAAATTAGTCCATCTACTGACCCATTTTGATCGATATACAGTCCCATTTTTTTTTGTTTTTCTAATTTGATATTTGATATTTGTATCAGATTCTCATAAATTTAGATTTAGTTGGATTTGAACATTAGTGTCAAGGATGATATCTCTAGCTTGTACCAGTAGCACAAGGACATTCTTATACTCAGTGGCGGATCTAGGATTTTCGTTCAAGGGTTCGAAAAATAAAAATATAAACGTGTAAATAAGCCTAAAACGTGAAAAACATAACTGGATTTTTGTTTAGGGGTTCAAAAAATAAAAGTATAAATGTGTAAATAAGCTTAAACATATGTAAATAAGTCTAAAACGTGTAAAAATAGAAATGAAACTAAAAAAAAAAAAAAAAACAGAAACTAAAAAAAAAAAAAAAAAGTATAAAGGTGTAAATAAGCCTAAATCGTCGCCCCCAAGGCCTAGCTCGAGTGGCAAAAGGTGGAGGATTTGTGGCTTAGGTAGCAGGTTCAAGCCCCACACCATGCAAAGCAAAGCCCGGTATTTAAGTGGAGAATGGTAGAGGGGCGGGCCCATTATCCACCGAGTTTGAAGGCTGTGATTGGTCCAAAGGGCGGGTCACAGACAGATTTCTCGATTTAAAAAAAAAAGAGCCTAAAACATGAAAAACAAAAATGAACCTAAAAATAAAAATAAAAAACAGAAACTAAAAAAGAAAAAAATTAAACACTATCGCAGGGATTCAAACAGGTGCGTGAAGCTTAATTTCAGGGGGGATTTGCCACTGCACTATCAGTTTCTCCTTGTCATTGAGGGGTTCAAAATATATATATATATATATATATATTA